ATAAATTCTATTTAAATTACCGTTTCTTATATCATCATGTAAGCTTATTTCATCAAAGTTAGTATAATCCCTGAAAGTGTACATAAAAGGTTTCATTTTATCTGTTTTTGCTTGAATAATACACGAAACTAAACTGTGATCAGAAAAAGGCTGATGTACATCTGCTTGTTTAACAGGAAGATCATTTGAACATATTATTAAATCTAGCAATGACATACTTGTTGAGCTAATTCTAGTTGGTTGGTCAATTAATTGTTTTAGATCAAAAACATCCAAAATGTTTTGTAATTTTTTGCACTCAATAGTCTCTGGGTCTAAGTTATCAATATTGAAATCTCCTAAACACAATATATAGTCATGTGTATGTAAAACATTACTCAAAACATTTTCAAAATCATTTAGAAATGCCTCATAGAATCTGTTATGTGACAAATATAAGGTGCCAAGAGCATATTTTTTATGTTCAATTTCAATTGTTAGCCACAACTGTTCACTAGTTATCCCTAGACCAGAAATTAATTTAGATTTAATATTATTCTTTAAATAAATAACAACTCCCCCACCTCTTATATTTAAACGGTCATTTCTGTATATTTTGTAACCAGGCAGAGACACAATATCATTATCAATTTCAGGTTTTAGCCAAGACTCTGAAACCGTTATTATATCATATTTATTATAAACCGAATCTCTAAATTTTACAAATTTATTTAAAATCGATCGTGTGTTTACATGACACACTTTTATTAACTTAGACATTTCTTTACTAATTATTACAGAAACTATGAAAAACTATGAAACTAATTTGTGAAAAAAAGAAACTATATTGTATAAATAAATTTACAAATTAGGTTTATGTTTTAATAAGTACATTTTATTGTTTCGTTTTTTTGGTACTTCTAGTATTGATAGGACTGGATTTAGCTTTATGTTTTCTTCTATGTACTTGAGAGACCGCATTCGATTTTTCTATCTTTTCAGCCTTTGAACTTTTCTCCTCTAATTCTTCTTCACTAGAGTTTACCTCTTCCGCTTCACTGTAGTCTTCTTCTTCGTCTTCGCTTCCAGATCTTTCTTCTAATTCATCTATTGAATATGATTTTCCATCGATAATCAGCTTAAAACCCTTAATTTTAGCATCTAAATTTTTTTCTTTGGCAGTTTTCTGATGTTGTCTTAAAATATTTATTTTTTCTCGATCTTCATTAGAGAGATCATCGCTTAAAGACAAGCCCTTTTTCCTAAGCTCTTTTAATTTATTAATATCTTTAAACAAAGTTGATTTTTTTAGATATGTAGCGAATTCTACCAATACTGGAGCGTTTTCAGATTTTCCAAGTTTAAATATATTATTTATTTCACTGTGCTTTATATTACAATCTAGATTGTCATTTAACGTTCCTACAGTCTTATCTATAATATTTTCTCCTTCCTCAATTTTAATGCCGAAAATTACAATATTATTTTTCTTAGCTCTTCTTTCAAGTTCTTGGCACTTTTGTTTTAATATTGATATTTCCTTATTTGCATCATTCACTTTTTTAGTAAGTGAATTTGTAGTTTTTTGTAGTTCTAATTTCAATTCTTCAGTTTGCTCTTTGTTGGCTTTTAATATTAATTGATATAATTGCGCAAATTCAGATTCTTTAACCCATTTACGGCCGCTGATGCGTATACGCAACACGGCATAAATTATTTTTTTTTATGGAAAATTTATTCGTTTTGAACATGAAATGTTCACATGCATCATTGATAGAAGGTCCAACACAAAAGTGATAGGATCGTATTTTAAGAAAGTTTTTCATTTGTATTTTTTTGGGAAATGCCCCAAAAAACCGAATTTTGTTACATATTGTTCCGAAATTTTCAAAAATCAAAATATTATATACGTATTATCATTTGCAAAGTTTTGATGCCCTCATTTTATTAAATATATTTCAAAATTCTTATAAAATACAAATGCGTGATATAAATGAACTGCTCTCCCTAAATTTGATCTTGAATTATGTTGTTGCATATTCGCATCACCGGCCGAATAAGTGTAAACAACTATCGACACGTTAAATAATTTTTGTGTAGATGTACTCTACAACTGTACAACTGTTTAGTCTTGATCTAATCGAGCTTGAATACGTGTCTCTGCTTGAGTTTTTATTGTTTTAAAAAATGCCGAAATTTTTGACAGAAAGGCAGCTAGAGTTCGCCTTAGAGGAGGTAATACGTGATTTGGACGATGAAAATGGTAAGTATATTGTCATTCTTGGAGGTTTGTGCACGTTTGAACATATTATTTTTTTCTGTAAGTGTAACTCAGCAAATTTTTCGTTCTTTCTAGAGCAAATCGACGCTGTCTATATTACACCCGAGGTAGATCAATTGACAGACGAGGAAGATTTCTCAGAAGATCGTGCTAATAATACATTACCCCAGATAAATATGTATTGGTCTTTAGATGAGGATAAAACTGTGGATATTGTCAGAGGATGTATGAGCAGGAATAAGTTCAGATCAATAAAGCGGAACCTACATCTGAGTGATAATAACAAACTGGATGTAACTGACAAATTCACAAAACTCAGTCCCTTTTTGACGCTCTCAACTAAAAATTCTTACAGTTTGGAATTTTTTAATTTGATTTGTCCATTGATGAGCAAATGGTCCCTATTTTGGGCAACATTCTTGCAAGATGTACATTAAAGGTAAGCCTGTCCGTTTTGGATTCAAGATTTGGTGCATTTGTTCTTCGAGTGGATATTCCTTACGCAGGAGCTGCAGAAAAGAAAACTAATCTTGGACTTGGCGCGAATGTAGTTCTTGAACTTTTATCAACTGTAAAAAAATTTCAGAATCATAATATCGTCTTTCATAACTTTTTCGCATCGTACAAACTGTTATCCCTTTTAAAAGCCAAAGGATTCTTCACCACAGGGACGATTCGCGAAAATAGGACAAGTAACTATCCATTGATATCAAGTAAATTGCTCTCTAAACATGAGAGTGGTTCGTACGATTCAGTTTCTTTGGTAAGATGGAACGATAATTCCATTGTTACAGCAATCAGTACCCACTATAATGTAAGACCTCTAAGTTCTGTCAAAAGATATGATAGAAAACTAAAAAAAGAGGTGTTAGTTCCACAACCAGCTATAATTTCAGCACATAATAAATCCATGGGAGGGGTAGATATGCACGATAATGGTGTGGCAAATTATAGATCCCGTGTGTTGGGCATGAAATGGTGGTGGCCACTATTCATAAATGCAATCGACAGTACTCTTGTAAATGTATGGAAACTCTACAACACTTTGAATGATAGTAAGATACCGCAACTAAATTTCAAATCATTTATTGCAGTCCGACTTTGTGCCAATGGTACTTCCATCAGAACCACCCAATGAAGTGAGGCTTGATCAATATGGGCATGTTATCATTAGAACTGATTCTCGTAGAAGATGTCGTGTGTGTAAAAGTTAAACAATTTATATTTGTCAACATTGTACAGTTTATCTACACGCCAACTGTTTTCGGCAATATCACTTAATGCTTTAGGCCATTAATGCGTATACGCAACATCATTTATTTTACGAATTAACTAATTTATATTTTTTTAAACCATAAATGTGTTACTTTAGTGTTTTTTAATAAAAAATATTTTTTTATATGAAACTTTTATTTCACTCCTTGGCAGTAAATGGGTTAATACTGCCGTTTTCCATAGTTTGCAATAAAATAAATCAAACTGTACATTGGTACTGGTATAAAATATGAGCTTCCCAATTTAATTTGGGATCTAATATTATTCCTAAAAATTTTATGTCATCAACGCTTTGAATAGTTTTTCCGTCAACGTTCAAGTAGGGTCCGTAATCTGGTAATATGATTTGGGTAGAAATTGCATGAAATTTGTTTTTGTTACATTTAATGCCAGACCGTTATCTTTACAATACTGGTTAAACTCACGAGATGCCTCGTTGCTACTTTGAGTGACCTGTTTAATTTGATCATCTGCCATTACAATATTGGTATCATCGGCATATTGAACTATTTGTTGAGAGCTTAAACAAAAATTACTTATATCACTTATAAAAAGAAGTGGGCCCAAAATCGAACCTTGGGGAACTTCTAATGTACATGGAAGAGGATCAGATTTTTGATTATTTATTACAATTACTTGAGTTCGATTTATTAAGACTATCCATTTATTAGGTTTCCCTCGTATTCCTAACCCATTCATCTTCAATAATAGAAGATTATGATTCACCATATCAAATGCACGGCTAAGGTCATAGAAGAGTCCCAAAATATGTTTTTTTATCATTGAGTGCTTGATATATAAACTCTAGGCAAGCTGCAATTCCAGTAGATGTGAACTTATTTTTTCTCAATCCATTTTGAGTATCTGGCAACATATTTAAACTTTCAAGGTAATTAGTGAGTCTAATAAAGTATGCTGACTCAAATATTTTAGTTATTTGACTAGATATACAGATTAAACAATAATTTTCTATATTAGATGCAGATCCCTTATTTTTATAATCAGGAATTCCTTCATATTTGGGAATAATCCCGAAACAAAGGATTCATTAATCAAATGTGATATGGGTTCAGCAATACAATAAACAAAAATATTCCTGTTAGAGTGTTAAATGACGAAAATTAATACTTTCTTGGTCCGATTTGATATTTTTCCATCATTTGGGGAAAATTTAGGTCATGTAAAAACTTCCAAATTAGTTTTGACATTTACTTTGGTAGGTGTATGAAGTTATTTAAAAAATTCACTGCTATTATTTTTCATAATAATAATTAGTTTTTGAGTTTTACTAAATTAAAACAAAATAAATTGAAAATCAAATTTATTCAGCCTTCTATATAAAAATTTATAAACTGGACGCCACAAGATTATAAAAAAATATTGCTTAAATTCTTCTAATTTTAAATATCTGCCTTATCAAAAAAAAAAAACCAAAATTATTATAATTAATCAAATAATTGAAACTATTATTGTTTATTGTACAGAATTATCCAAAATTAGTTTACAAAAATTAAAAAAAGCTTTTATAATGAAAATTTTATTTAACAGCAGTTCCTGCGAAAAATCACTCTCGTCAATCTTAAATTATTACATGTTAATAAAAAGTTCAGTATCTACAACTATCTTCTGTTCTTCGGCTTGTATTTTTCCCAATGCTTGTGATTCACAGTGGTAAAATCATTACAATTTTCAGCTAGATCTTTTAAGTACTTAGAGAGATACAACAATTCTTTATCTTTTTCTCTATTCAAATGAGCTTCTCTAAAAGGTCTGATTCTCAGACCATTTTTCGGATTCATTATGAAATTCCTTCTAATATCATCAAACATTATGGTATTTTTGGATGAAAATTGTTCAAATTTGCCCCAAATAACACCCAGTGGTTTTACCTATAACAGTTTAATGTTTTAAAATTGAAACTGTCATTGTTTCTATATATTTTTGTTTATACTTACATCAACAACACCATATTTAGGAATATGGACGGAGATCATGGCTGAAGAATCCAAATAAAATGCGATTTTATAACTGGGATGTGTAGTGACACCCAATAATTTCATTTTTTCTTCTATCCATTTCATTCCTGTAGCCGACCATATCACTATATCATAATATTCATAAGCTGCAGATAAGAATTCATGTAAAAAAGGCCTCATGAGTTCTGCTCCAGATTGAGCTGTAGTTCTATGATCAAACAGAGTATAATCAATGTCTAATACCAACAGTTTCTTATCAGGTCTCAATTCACTTAGCATATTAATTTTGTAATCTTTAATTCTCTTCTCCACTTTTGCCAAGTACACTTCTTGGTTTTCTATTGCCACTTCTTCCTCCTCTATATCCAGATCGTTCACCACGTCTGGTAAATTAGTTGGTGCAGTATTCGCTTCTGCAATGTCTTCTTCTAGTGACCCCATCATCATAAGTTTGAAATTCGGTTTTAATTTGAGCTGGCCTAGAGTACAATCATCTTCTGGCGTTTTACCTAAAAGAAAATTAACGTAATTACGTTTAAATATACCTAATGGTTACCTATATTTGCCTTTGTGTTTCAGATTCAATAATTTTTGCCTTTCGCATTTAACCTCTGTTAAATTCTCGATTAGTTTCTTTAAATCTGAAACCGTGTCCCCTTCTGACGATTCCAATTCGTATTCTTTACCGTTCCATTTTAGAATCATTTTTATAATGCTCATTGTTGATAGCGGAAAACGAAACAATTTTTTTTTGTTAAGTTTTGTTGTTACTGTCAAAATAATTACATAACCTCAAATGTTGTTTTAAAGCAATGATATATAGTTATATAGATTACATTCATATATAAATAAGATTCGAAAAGCGGGGGTTCACTGTGAGAAATTTCAATTAAATACAGAGCCGGTGTTGAGTGTTTTCTTGCTATTAAGATTTTTTTCAGATTTAAATGTATATTTTATAAATTGTAAAAACATAATTTTACACACAGTTAATAGTTAATATTGTTAATTAAAATTAATTTTATTCAGTAATCAAAGAGAGCTTTAATTATTATTTTATATAATTTATATTAAAATAAGCATTAGAGTAATTAAATAGTTTTAATAAAAAGTATTTTTTTAGTAGATTAAGGACCGATTCCACCGTTGTGTTAAACGAAGTTTAAAATTACATTTTTACATTAACAATATCATTTCAACCTCCGTTTAACACAACGGTGGAATCGGCCCTTAGTGAATAACACACACAATCATTGTTACTTATAAATCTAGTCATTCTTTTGAATAACCTTTTTTGTGTTCAAATTGTGTTCTTATGATATTTATTAAAACAATAACGTTCAATAATTATTACGCGATGGGGTCCAGAATGATTTTACCATTAATAATAAGAATTTTGAAGTTTTATACCCGCGAGCTTTGCAAAAAAATTACACTTATTTTATGTCCACTAGTCCACTAGGTAAAATTGAAATATACACGCTGTGGTGTTTTTTTTTGTGTGTGTCATCGGCTTCAACTGCTAAGGTTATTTCGCCTCGTATTCTGTGTAGGCTTTGTTACTGTTTCCCATCGCCACTTTAGGAACAGCACTGTTAATTAGAACCCAACAGTGATGGTCGAGTGGGGGAATCCTACCAAGGCATCAGAATTAATTTTAAATAATTAAATTAAATGAAAAAATTCCGGCCAACGGTGGGATTAGGACCTGGGACCCTTGGATCCACAGGCAGAGGCTCTAACCACTGAGCCACCCACCCCCCCCCCACACTGTGGAATTAAAAGATTTTCTATCAATTTTAGGCAACTTATAATTTTTTATGTCCTTTCGTATTGATTTTACATTTAGGCACATTTTCACAAACCGAATAATCTGTCTCGGAAATTCGCTTGCGTTCCCATTTATATTATTTATAATTAACCAACTAATTCTCGTTTATTGCTTTAATAAACCATAATTAAGACATTGTAATTATTGTAAAAGGAGATTGTAACAAACTTTAAAATGTTAAAAATCTACCGACCTTTAGTAAAATTTTCCTAACATTAACATTACTCAGAATAAAAAGTATCCAATATAGTTTGGTTACATCTTTTACCAAAGTTGTTTATGTCTCATATCAAAAGGTGTGTAAACAATTACACACCTTTTCAAGGTTGTATTACATATTGGAATTATGTGTTTCAATATAGGGTTATTTCTCAAACGAGAGTAGTGAGTGAGTAGTCCACAAATGATTATCTACCTTTTATAAAAATTGTTTAGTTTTCTTAATATTATTTATCATATGGAAACTCAACTTTACAACACAAAAAATATGTTTTCAAAATACCTAATATATAATATATTAATTCTTTTTTTTTTCTGAATATCCTAATGCGGAAATTTTATTTTAAAGCACATTTTCGGCCAGAGTGATTCTGGTAATCTTGTAGTCTTTTTATATATATAAGTGAGCAATCATATAACTACATATTTATATCATTGGTTTAATGGCGGGGTTGCCAGATGGAAACAAAGCTGCCGAAAAAAATTAGTGATGTAAATAATCGAATGATTCTAATAATCGGAATGTTAGTAGTCGATTGCTTTTAATAATCGAAATATTATTTCGCTCTTCGTTCTCCGTTCCTAATATCGAGATTTGAGATCAGTTTTTTGTTTCTTGGATTTCGTTGTCCAGTGCGTATATTTTAGGGGTTTCACAGAATTTAAATTTTTTGAAATATTATTCGTTGTTATTTTTCTAAGGACCGATTCCACCGTTGTGTTAAACGAAGTTTAAAATGACATTTTTACATTAACAACGTCATTTTAATATCCGTTTAACACAACGGTGGAATTGGTCCTAATCCGTTTAAAGAAACTTAAAAAGAGATTATTAGGATAATCCATTGTTTCCAGTTTATTTTTTTATTTTTACTAAAATCTATTGATTTAGGAATAAAATCACTTAGGACCGATTCCACCGTTGTGTTAAACGAAGTTTAAAATTACATTTTTACATTAACAATGTCATTTTAATCTCCGTTTAACACAATGGTGGAATCGGTCCTTACCTAATTTCTAAAATTCTAAATAATAGTTTTCAATTAGGCATTCCAAACAAAATGGCTACCAGTGGGCTTTGACAGTTTATGATATAGCAAAATTATGGCAACTCTGTAGGCCTGGTGATTTGACAAGGTCAATGAAATAGATAGTTACATAGATTGATCATCCATATTTTTCAAAACTTATGTCTTGAAGTAAAAATGTAGATAATTATTTTTTTATTATATTCAAAGGCTAAATATTAGTTTGTAAACACATTTTTGCAAAATAGATTCTGATTAATGAACACTTGCGAGGCAATATGGCCGCTCGCAAAGGATCCGCTTTGAGCAATCTATATAACTATATATGAATCATTGACCCTGTCTGTGACAACAGGCTCACAGGGTTGCCATATCTAAATGTCAGCAGTTTGACAGATCGTTTACGACTGAAGACTGTACCGAGTTCAATAACATTTCAAATCTAAACTCCAAACAACTCGTCGTAAATCATCCAAGTCATTGTTTTAAATCATCATCCGATTCGTCATAAACCGGAACTCAAAACACAAAGACCGATGAATTTCGAGATCTCAAGAGATAATCCGATTATTTTAATAATCGGAAAGATTCCGATTTTTGTATCCAAATACTCCCATCACTAAAAAAAATTTGAATAATGAAAAATGCAAAATTGCCAGCAACACAGCAAATCCTTTGACGTTTTTGACATATTGTCAATGGTTAACCTAAAAATCCAAAAAAATATGTAAAAATAGTTACACCACAAATTAAGAATGCTTTTTATCGTGTAGTGAATAATATCCATCTACTAAAAGGTTTTATTTTCTTGCCCTAAAATGGTTGTTGGCTGTAGAACGCGACAATTGTTCAACAGTTCGAAAACTGCATTTCTTTTTCAAAATTTCAATTTTTCAACGTACAGACCATTCTACAGAAAGTGCTCAAATTTTTTGACAAAAGACCCATTCGGGATAGGGTTTAACAGACTCAATTCCTTAGTAAATTTATGCTGTGGATGTAGACATTTATCTGTAGACCATTTTCAGTCAAGTGATAATAGAACTACGATTCCGAAATTGACGCCACAAGAGGTGAGTTTTTGATTCATTTTTTTAAATAATTTACTATTTACGTTTCTTTACGTTTCTATAAATAATTACGGAAATTATTAAATCGTTACATAAACAATCTCTAATAATGTTATCAAGTATTTTATTGCCGAGTCGTTAAAATAAATGTTCAATTACTTTATGTACAAAGTAAATAGTTTCGCGGTCAGTTAAGATATTATTTTTTGATAATTAGATTTTTGATTTTATTAAAAAGCAGTAAGCAGTAACATGATTAATATATTTCAAAAATGTTTTCTAACCACAACAAAAAAATCCCCCTACTCTTTTATAATCATTTATTTTTCCCTTCCCTTTATAATAATATTGAAAACACGAAAAACTAAATACCAATTTTCATGTCTGTATCATTTTTGGTTTTTGAGATATATACTTACTTAAGTACTCGAAAAAATTGACCTACCTCCTTAGTTAATTAGATGACAACAAAACAAGTTTCTATTTATGATCAAATCAAATCAGTTTATTCACCATAAAAGGACATTCACATAGTGAAAGCCATTTATCAGGCTAGTCAATATTAAAATTTTTAAAAACAATTAATGTCTTAAAAATTAGTAAACACTTAATTACCTATATACATAAGACTACTTATATTATTAAAAGAAACATACAATTTAAAATTTAGAAAATGAGCTGGTTTAACAGATTATGATACCTTCATTGTGTAGTTCAAGAATTCAGAAACTCATCAATATTGTAAAATGTATTATTGTAGAGGAAGTTAATAATTTTATTCTTTATGCTGTTCCTTGGGCCGACTAAGTCAATAAGCATTTTCATTTTATTGAAACATTTAACCCCTATATAATTGGGAGAATTCTGACTCACTATCCGTCTTGAGAAGGGTGCATGAATGTCATCATTATGGTGGGTATTATATGAGTATATTTCATTGTTTAAAGTAAACTGGTTCTTATTATCATAGATATACAGTATTAATTGTAAAATATATAAAGAGTGCCCTGTTAGAATTTAATATTTCTTAGATTTCGGCAGCTTGTTAATGGATGAGCTCTATCCATACATCTTACAATTTTCTTCTGTATGATGAATGCTCTATCTATATGTGAGGAGGAACCCCATACCAACAAGCCATACTGTAACTGAGATTGTACCAGTCTGAAATATAATATTCTTAAGATGTTAATGGAAACTTTATCCCTAAGACTTCTCAAAATAAAGCAGGTGCTACTCAGCTTTGAGCATAGCTTATTGATATGAAGCTCCCACGTTAGCTTAGGACTTAGGATCAAGAGTTACACCTAGAAATTTCATTGATTGAGTACTTCCTCTTGATTTTCCAGAAAGTTTAATTAGCAAATCTTCGTCAGGAGTAATATTTTTAGGTAGAAACCTCATATATAAGGTTTTCTCGCAATTTAGCTCAAGGGGCATTTTCCTCACAATATCCTTCAATTTCTATTGTGACGTTATTTCCATTTTCTACTAGGGTACTGACACATTTCTCAGACCATATCATATTGGCATCATCCTCATAAAAAACAGATTTATCTGATGTTTCACAAGTGTTTAAAATGTTGTTTATAAAAATTATAAAGAATATTGGCCCAAGAAATGAGCCTTGGGGAATGCCCAATGCATTCAGATGAAGCCCCATCAATAGCTGTTGTCAGACGGCGCCATCTTTATATAATATTTATATATTATATAATAAGTCTCTTAATATAGGTACACATTTTCACATTTGTAACATTTTGATTTTATATATATTTTTTAATTCTCACTCCCAAAATATTTGTATGATTCTCAAATTACAGCATCGCCCTTGCAAGCATTTTTTTCGGTATTTCTAACCATTCAGGCTTTTTTATGATTTGTTTCCATAAATTAGGTAAATTGTAGCGACTATTTTAAAATTTTTTTTTCCTCGAAAACCTGGGGTGAATAAAAGGCTGAATGCCGTAGAACTACTGAATAAAAAATGTTTGCAATTTTGAGAACAATTAAACCAATTTTTATTTTTTGGTCAAAAGCAACTCACTTTTCACCAGATTGTAAATTTCTTTTCTGCATATCAACTCTTTCGCCGACACAAAAAAAATGCTTGCAGAAAAAACGAGTTTAAGCTATTTCTACAATTTCATTTCATTTCATAGAAGCATATATTTCATTGCCAGCCAAAAAAGGAAAAAATTCCATTGATAAGCAACTTTACTTTGAATTTCACAGGTCACACCACCACACCCCCCACCGCTTTCACCACCGGGACATAGTACTCACCTCCTCCCCTATACTCAACTACAAATAGCAAGCACAAAATATGACTTGCCACTTTTTGAGTCACTGGTTTAGGAACCTTCTTTATGGAAGGTTTTGTAAAACATGAAAATGATAATAATTATATAACACCTTGTGTGATCAATAATGCAAAAGTTCTTGTTTTCAATTATTTTCAGTTCGATGTTTGGCATCTGAAAACTTTGACTAAGTAACGGTTGACCAAAATTTTTCGAATTCATCACTTATTGTTGCAAATTGTCTCCTTTTTTTCCAAAACTTTTTAAAATTTTGACATCTTTCTCTGTTGTTCCAAAATCAAGGATTTTAATTAAAGAAAAACTTAAAGGACTTTTAAAATTGTCTAAAAAATACCAAAATAATAAAAATAAACTTACACAATTAAAAATACTTAATAAATAAAACACCAAAAATATTTTTTTAATTACTTCAATTTTACCCAAGAAATTGGAGAATCTTTGGTGATATGTTGTCTTTCTTCAAATAATATTCAATTTTAAAGTTCAAGATTCTGGTACAAATCCCATTTGAAAACAAATATTTTAAAGCTCACAAAAATGGGAATGTATTCCCATACTTATCGCTGGAAAATATTCCACCGGTTGTTCCCATGGGAATAAAAGTTTATAATCGGGCCCTTGATTAAGAAAATATTCCCACAATTTGACTCCAGAATATGTAATCTTCTATAAAAAATTTAACCAAATTCCTATAGAAAACCCCTAAAAATCAATGAAATTATGAAGGATAGAACCTTTAGGGCCTGTCTGTTCAGGAGGGAGAAGGGACCACCTATCAGTACAATTTTTTAAAGTCGCGAAAAAAAAATGGTGCTTTTGACAGACACTGTATGCTATTAATGACATATTTTGTCATATTGTAGCTAATATTCAAATTTTATATAGGTATAAGAGTTGTAAACATTACGAGGATTTTTTAAGTAGAGGTTAGTGTATAATGTTTGAAACTTAATAAAAAATAATTAATTAACATTTTTATTAGCATTTAAACAAATTCATTATAATATACATATAATTTTCTACATTTTTCTTGGAATACAGAAAAAAATAAAACTTATATGAACTTGTAAAAATATATATTTGTATATACAGTCTTCACAAAAGAAAACTACGAATTCTTTATGTCGATTTAACGTAAATCACTTCATTCAAAATTGTTTAAGGGAGCTAAAGCTCTTTAAAGATGTCCCCCTATTACCTTTTTAACTCAAAGATCTTCAAAACGGTTTTCTTTTGAGTGATGATAATAGTCTGTACATCTATTTTGTGGAATATTGCCAATCGTATGGCGTTAATATGATTTTTTAATGATTGTATCCATAAGTGGCTCGTTTGAGAAGTTCGTGGACACCCTTTTTAAACAAAATAATCACAAAATTCACAGAATTCTTAAGAAAAAACAAATTCTTAGGAACGAACAAAAAAATAGATCCTAATGTAAAACTTTGACAAAGAATCACATTGAAATTCTTAAATAACTATATAGGTGCAACAAAAGTACATCAGTTAATTAAAAAGCAAGTTTGCTTTGTAAAAAAGAAGATTTTGGCTAGTATGTCAATTATGAAATTTTAATCTAAAGCTCTCCATAAATCAGCTTCAACACTATGCAACAGAAACATTTCTAAATTAGCTTGTCCTAGTAACGAACGTAGCCGTGTTAATATTATTTTTAGCTTATAGGTATTTGTAAAAAATATAAATGAGTAAGTCAATGCATGTAAGTTATACCTGTGTAATAACTTAAAATAACACATTAGACAACCAGAAAAAGATTGTTCATTGATATGTACCTCATAAATTCGTTTTCTGAGCTACCATTTTTTTTTTTAAATATACCAATGAAATGTTTGAAGTTATGCAACTAACAATGCACGAAAGTAATATTGGTTGCATAGATGTCAGTATTTTTTTAACAAACACAAGTTAATAAATAATCTAGTCAAAACTAAAAAAAAATTGTATGTAACACGTTACGAAATGCCGTTTTGTGTAACTCATTACATAAAATAAGGTGTTTTGTAAGTAGTTACATCTTCTTTTACCATTTTTATTTTTAGAAGTAATCTCCAAATCTAGAGTTTTACTTTGAACCTTTTTATATTTATAAATTCTAAAATTATTAAGTTTCTTATTGGAAGTATTATGTTAAACTACAAACAAGGAAACACCTCCCACCTCTTTTTATTTATCTATGATCCACACAGTATCTCCATTGCCTTTATAAATTAAACAAGAAATATACGTTTTTTTTATTATAAATAAAATAACATTTTACTTTCATACGTATATAATATCTATTTGTTTACTTATATTATCTTACATCCTAAATTTGAAACGTACGTAGTAGCATTTGACAGGAGCGTATTGGCCCAAGATACCGCGTCCGCTGCCTGGGCAACCCCACCAGCTCCTTCTGCCCAAAACGTCTCGACCAATTGGGCTGCGAATTCGAGTATTAAAGTGACTCCTTGCAGGACGGTACTTTGGAACAACTTCACCAGAGACAAATAGGGAGTGATGATGCTACATCCGGCCGTTATTAAGATGCTCAGAACTGCGTTCAAAATCAAATGCAAGACGTTGGTGATTATGTTTTGAACTGATACGTCTGATGATGTTTCGGTGGTCGAGTTTCTCACTTGCAGGAGTCTTTCCACGAACAGACTGTCGGGTTTT